TAATTCAATTATATATTTTTAATTAACATTAAAGGTGGGTTGTAGTAGGGATTTGACATTTTGGAAACCAAGACTCCAGGGGGATCTTTCAGTTTTTCCTTAATATCCAYAGAAAAGAAAAGGAACATGAAGGGGAACCTGGCTGCAACAAGGGCAAGGGGAATGGCACACATGGCATCACCTGATGAGACCAGCCTGACACTCATGAAAATGAGATTTGTCCTCCCTCMGTGCCACTGAGCCCCCTCTGGGGGAAGCAGTTTTGCTTCAGCTAAAACCTGGTTGCTTTGCACTGCAAGCATCCCTCGTTTTTGGCAAGCAGCRTTCCTCACCAGCCTGGCCCCTACCCACAGGGCCCAAAACACTGCCGGTTCCTTGGCTCAGTGGTGGCTGASATGAGGCTTCTGACTCACCAGAGTTGCTTTGCTGAGTGTTCCTTCCCTTCAGGAGCCCCAGCTGAGGCAAGACCCCCCTTTCAGACCTGCACTGGGGTTACTGTGATGCTCAACAGGGCTCAGCACGGGCAGTTTTCACCATGAGGGTCAACCAGGGTGCCAAGCACCTGACTGGGGCAGCAGGACCTCCAACTTCTGATGTTCTTGTGGCCAATTCTGGATCTCAAGCTCATCCAACAGCCCATCTGACCAGCTGAGACTGCAGATCTCAGCAAAAGGAATGTGGGCTTGCTCTTTTCACCCAAGAACCTGGGCCAACACTGCCTCTCTCATCTCCAGTGGTGGACATAGATGCCACAACAGCAAAGAGGGAGAAATTATCAGATTTTGTGGCCATGGGAAGGACAGAGAAAGTSTAATGTTTTGGGTATAACTGGATGGGGTGGAAAGCTCCTTCCTTTCACTCTCCTCTCCCGATGGCGTGTCCCACCTTGGTGTGCCTTTCTGGATGGGTGCCATTTGACTCCTGTGCCTGTATGTGCATCTGCAGTGTCACTCCCTGTCTGTGTCACATCCCTGTCCCAAATCTGCTTCCCATTTGCCTGGAATCAGATTCCCTGCTGTTTCTGGGGGACTTTCTTCGAGCTGCTCAGCCATGACCAGAGCCTGAGGCGCATTGGATGGCAGCTGGTGAGCCTCACGCTGCCACAACTGACCACAAACTGAAAAACTCCCAGTGGAAGGCTGCTCTTTAGGAGTGTGTAATGCTCCTTTCCCCAAATTACTGGTTACTCAGTCACTTGTGCATAAACAGGAACTTTGTCCCCTGCTCTTTTCCAAGTGCTGGAAGGCCATCAGCTGGCATGCAATCCTATCATCTTTGAAACAGCATCATCCCTCCAAACATCAGAAATGTATGGATGGGGTCCTGGCTTTCCAGTAACCGGATTCACTTGCACTTTCACTGATGTTACAGTCCATGGAGTAAAAYCATCCCCATTTTGCACAAAATTGGCAAGCTGGAGCTGCAGCTCTCCTTTGCTCACCCCCAGCAGATGATYCTCCTGGCTTCAGCTACAAGCTCTGTGGGGCAGAGGCAGTAAGAATTTTGCAGTGATGAAGTCATGTACGGCCTGCTTCAATTAAAAATATTTCTTTTCCTTACAGACTTTGCCTCCTCTTTACTGCTGAGGGACTGGCTGGGAGACAGTTTGTGTCACTGTTTCAGGGACCCTCAGCAGAAGGTGCCATTCCCAGGACTATTTGGGCCTTTCTGAGCAACCGTCCAGTGCTGTGTGAGTGGTTAAAAGGATTCCCTTTCCTGCTTCYGTGGGTCTGGAATAGAAATACTCTCAGTGTCCTATTTGTTTTTTCTGAGGCAGGGGTGTGGGGGCAGCAGGTAGATGAGTTTATAATTCCTAATTCCAGGTGCAGCTAGTGAGAAAATGGCCCTTTTACTCCCCCTGTGCCCTCTCTGCCTTCTTTCCTCCTCTTCAACCAGCACTTTCCACCTTGACATTTCCCCTGCTTCCATCATCTCTCACCTCATGTGCCCTCACCCTCTCCTTTAAATATCCTACTCCTCTCTTCTCCCACCCCCAATGCCTTTCTGCCTTCTGGCTTTGCCTCTGGTGAGCTCTCTGGGTGTGCCAAGCCACTGTCTCCTTGTTGAGCAGCAGCCTCTGCAGCTGCTCTGGCTTTCTTGGCTCTCTTGGCTTTCATTCCTTTTGGCCTCCCCACAACACCCCGAGGTGGCAAACCTCAGAAAGACCCTCCAGCAGAGAGGTTTCTGACCCACTGTTCCCTCAAAGGGAGGAGTTCAGGTTCTCTTAGGGAAGTTTGGGGGTGCTTTGTCAGCAGAGGGGATGGGGAGATCCACAGCACAGACCTGGGAAATCATTAACTCCCCATCTGAACTGAGCAAGGTGCTCTGAAGAAAGTGAACACGGTGCTTTTCATGAAATGCCTTGCAGGGGATCACGGGGCTTACAGAGGGAAAAAGAATGGACTAAAAAGGAGAGACAAACTCAGGAAGAGCTGAACATCCAGGGAAGGGATAAATAAACTCRGTCAAAGAGAGGCAGAGTCCTGATGAGACCTGTCATGGAAAGGTTTGGGGCTCAAAATGAGCTGTAAAGAAGCTCCATAGCTCTGGTTACAAGGGATCTGTGRTGAGTAGTAGTGAAGAGTCTGAGTGGACAGAAGAACAGATGGACAGGACCTCCTTATTTCCAAATTGATTCAGGCTGCTGTGTTTAGAACATATTAATGGGAAGCAAACAAAAGGATGGGTTTTTAGTTTTTTGATTGTTTGGGTTTTTTTGGTTAGATTTTTTTTTTGGTATGTTTGTATTTGCGTTCAGGTAAAGAGCTCAGTTTGGTGTGAATTACATATTTTACCTGCACTACAAATTAGAAAAAAGGACTGCTCTTGTGCTTTGACAGCTGGACCTGAGATGGATTTTGATTTAAAAAGCCAGATTGTGAGTCTGGGGGACATCAGGCAACTGAACAGCTTAGAGCTCAGAAATTCTCAACAGTGACCTCTGTGATTAGGAGAGACCTCTTTCCAACTGGTGTTTTGTTGTGAAAAAGTGGTGAGAAGTCAGCTTGTTTCCAGGTCACTGCCAGGAAGAGAGAGACACAAAGTGGAGGCGGTTCAGAGGAAGAATAACCAAAATGATGAGAGGTGGCTGAGCTAGCTTGGTTTCTGAACTGCAATCGAGAGAGCGAAGCCTGCCTGGCTTGGCCAAATGACAGTGAAGAGGTCAGGGTGACAATCAAGTTGCCGCAGCTTCATGAATAGCTGGTAAATTGGTTGACAGAGGCAGTGGCAAAGTCTTGATAAACCTCCAAATTGCTGAAGGGCGTAAATACCAAGGCTGCAGAGAAAATGGTTTTGGCCCTGGATCAGGTCCTGGCTCAGGCTATGGTTCTTTTTTGACTAYCCTCTGCAGATGGCCATCCTGAAAATGAGTCCGCTGCACGCCTGTAGCTGTAGCAGGCTGACCTTTACCTCGTCACCAGTGCAGCCACAGGAAACATGAGAGCCCTTGTTCGGTGTCATTTCCTCTTCTTCGGATTCTGAGCTGTAATCAATGTGTGTTGGTGTTGCCTGTGAACCAGAAGCGTGAATGCAAATCCTTGAAGGGAACAGCAAAAGCTCTTTTTTTTCGGAATGCTGTCGCAGCACTGGGATTGAATGCTGAGAAGTGAATGGACAGGGYTGGTACCCACAGGACAGAGGAACAAGCTTACTCAGGCTGAACAGGTTTTTCCTCCTGATGTGCCCTAGTGGGTCAGCTGAGGGGATAAGGCTGAATCTTCCTGAATAAAAGCATCCAGTCCTATGCAAGCTCTTCATGAGTGATGCTGGCATAACCTCATAAGTGAGCCTTGGAGTTAACAGTGTCTTGATAAACTTGGAACAGATTGCTCCACATTAAACTTTTGTTTCCGGATGTGTGGAGACTCAGGCAGATGTCACACTGTTCATTATTCTTAAAACACATTTTCAAGATCTCCTTCCAAATCACAAGGGCAAGAAATGTCAAAAGCAATCAAACCAAACTTCCAACATAATCACCTGACTCCAGGAGATGGGGCTCTAGACCTCAGCTGATAACAAAAGGATTTGTAAATAGCAAATGGTTCATTTCACAGCTGACCTAAATAACAGGGAAGATAATTGTTTCTGTTCTACAGAGAATATTTTATTCCACCAACCTGAAATGAAACAAGCCATTTTGATTTGGGATTGTTTTGGTTTTTGTTTGTTTGTTTGTCGTTGTTTGGGTTTTTTTTTTTTTTCAATTAAAAAAATTTTAAAATGCTGCTTAACAAAAAGACAGAGGAATTTCAAAATGAAACAAATAATTTGGGAATACAAAGCCCAAGTCATATGGGAGCACATTTTATACACATTTTTTTTCCAAAATKTGAGAAAAGAATCTTGGGGTGGGGGTGGCTGGGTGGAGAGATGGAGTGGTTGTGGGGCATGATTTTTTTCCTCTGCTTCTCAAGWCGAGCTTAATTACTTCAGTGATTTCTACTCTTGAATCTCCAGCACATTCCTTTCTGCAGGCTCATTGCATGATATTCCCAAAGAGAARTCTAGATCCTTTTTGCTAAAATGCGCCTTAGCAGGGAAAGATGATGTACATTATCTGTCACTTCCTTGTTTCCCACTCAGAAACTTACAGGGCTGCCTTTTCTCTCACAGGAAGATCTGTCCTTCTTCCTGGAATCTGGCACTGCTTTCTCATCCCAGCTGCCTTTCATCCATGCAGGAGTGTAGGGCAGAAAAAGCCTTGTAAACAAGGTGGTGATGCACTATAGGAGGAGAAGGCTGACCTCAAAATAYTTGGATTTCCAAAGTGTCTGGTCTAATGAGCTGAGTTAGCTGAAGCTATAGCACAGAGAAAAGTACCACCATATTCAGCTGTCTTGCAAACAGCCTGCAGCCAACCTTCGAGGGGGGGAGAAATCAGAAAACAGCCACCACCACCACTAAGAGAAAAAATAAGTATCCTGTCTTGCATGAGTGAAATTTATGTGAATAATAGAATGATGCTGCTCCACAGATGGTAGGTCAATAAAGTGGGCCTTACCTGGCCTCAAATCTTTGGTATTTTAATRTATTTCCTGATTCTGTGAGTTACAGCTGCCCTGTTGCACATACATGCACATAGCACTTAATGCTGTAGAGGAGAGATGGAACAGTATTTATCTYTTTCCCGGCATCCCCTTTATCTTTGTTTTTAAGGCTTGATTCAGCTTTGAGAAATCTGCCCTACTGCAAGTCAAACTAAAAGCATGCCCTGAAAGAGGAAGACATTCTTATTTATTTTAGTTAATTGCTTGTTTGCATAATTACTCATCTCAAAATCTAACTTACAATAAAACCTTCCCTTCCATCAGTGCAGCCATTGTTACAGCTTCCAGCACGTCTGTCCCAGCAGTGGTTKGCTGGAGCTTTGGAAAGGTGAGCTTTACAGTCTCACTGCAAGGGTCAGTACGTCTGACCCACAGAAACCAGGTCAGCTTCCCAATGGGCTCCAGACCCGCTTGTCTTCTGAGTCCTTCTCCATAATTCACTTCCATAAAGAAAGAGTACAGGGATGACGAGGAGGATTTGAGGCTGGTGAGTGTAAAACAAGGACGGCTTTTACAGTTAAGCATCTGTTTTTTGATTTTGCCATCTCTACCGTAGGTGTATGGGAATGTGTGTCCCTACATATTAAAAACTAACCAAATCAGAACACTACTTGAGTGTGGAAGAACAGTGACTTGAAGGCTGTTCTTTACATTCTTCTTTTTCTGGTGTGTGTGTGATTTTTTTTTTGTTTGAGTGTGTTGCTGTTGATTGTTTGGGGTTTTTTTTTTTGTTGGTTTGGTTTTATTTTTGTCAATATGCACAAACATATTGGAAGGAAGAACATTATTGTAAATACCTGCTTGGACCTGTGGGGCTTTGGGAGCCCCCGGCAGCATGCACAGTGCACCACAGTGCTTCAAGACAAAGATTTTTCCCCAGCACTGAAGAAACCACAGTTTCTGTTTTGAATGTCCAGTCCAAGTCATTGATGAAATGGTGTGTTCTGCTAGGCTAAGATGACAGCAGAGGGCAGGGAGGGCAGCCTACAAAATTAAAATTAGGGCGAACAAAAGGTTTTCTAAGCTGCTTTGAACATCATGTTAGCTTTTCACCCATTCCCAGCCATGAGGTGTGACCCTGCCTGAATTGGCAGGGTCTGCCAAAGGATCAGGTTCTGACCGTGTTTATTTTGGCTGTGGCTATCGTAAACCCAGGGGCAGAGCTGGAAGATTTCCTTCACCCCAAGCGCCCTTTGGGATACTCCCTTCCTGGGCCAAGCTGAGCCAGACTGGCAGGAGACAGCATTTATGGGTGTGCATCTGAGACCGAGGGACAGCCCAGGCTCTGCTTGTCTTCTAAACATGGCCAGAGGGTGTCTTAGAAAGCCAGCAAGGTTCCCAAACTTGACGAGATGAAGGCTGGTGCAAGCAGGACACAGTCAGGTCACTGGATCTGGCCTTCAGATGAGGAGGTGGATCTTACTAAGAGATCTGAGAGTTTACATTGGTGATAGCTGTAGCTGCTCTCATTTTGTGATCTGCTCTGTTTTGCCTGGGCCTCATGCCTTACCTTGCTAGCTGTGGCGGCAGTGACCCTGATGGTCTCCCACTCCSCTTCTGTCTGAGAGGAAAGCTGGATGAGATGACAGAATAGCTTGTTTTGTGATCAGTTCCAATGTGCCTGGGCTGGGAACTGGATGTGAMAAATGTGTTGTCCAAACAGAAGAGGCCAGGACACTGTCAAGGTGCCTGGTTGGACGTGTCTCAGGGTGTGCCTGGGTTTTTACAGGACAAGCCCAGGGGCTGTCTCCTCGCTGGCAGAAGTGGCTGGTATCTCCTAGGGAGTTTCTGCCCCCATGTTTCCCAACATCTCTTCCAAACGTGTGGGTATCCCAAGGAGGAGCCAGMGCCTGCAGCGGTGTGGGAAGGGGAGGAGGGAGAGGAAAAGAAGCCCTGTGTCCTTGTAAGCGTAACAGTTTAGTCTTTGCTCTCAGGGACACAAGCTGGCAGTTGGCTTTGTAGTAACCCACATGACAACAGGAATAACATCAGGCGTAATTAGACGAAATGATGGTGTAAGTTCAACTCTTTCCCCCCAAAGCACCCAGCCCCCTCAACCCATTTTGAAACAATGCACCTTTTGTGGACTCCAAGTAGCTTTTAAAAACACAATTGATTTCTTTCTTCCCCATCACAGAAAAGAGCTTGCTGCTAGGATAACGAATGTTGAAATGTCTCAGAGAGGACAGAGGCTGAAGCAGGGAGGGGATGAGACACCTCATCCCTCCCAGCTTCTTCTGATGTCCTCTTCCAGACCCCCCTCACCTACCACCACCCACGAGATAATCATTGTTCTTTGTTACTACAGCTTTAAATGTTCTCCCTTTCCACCCCTGCAACCCAAAACAGTATCCCCTATTGTTTTGGTGTTGGAAGCATACATGATGTAGTCATGATTCTGCCTTTTCTGAGGCCTTGTCAGGTTATGGATGATTGATCATGCTTCATCCACCCAGTGAAGCCCATCAAAGAATAGTACAGCATTTTCCTCTCTGCCTCTTTCCCCTAAGTGTGACTTGGCTGAGAGGACTACTGTGCTGGGTTTGAATGGAAATTATCTAAGTGTGTGGCTCCAGCTCCCCCTGCTAGCTCCCCTCTCTTTAAAAAATGAGACTGAAATGTAATCAGATTTACTTTAATGAGGGGGGACTGAGAAAATGCATCCCATGAAAAAGAACTTTGTGGGCAATCCAGGTCCCACACCATAAACAAAATCAAGTCACTCTATATTAGTGTAGAGAAAGCCTCAACACCGGAGAARCCCTGTTTATACCCCCTCCTTATCACAGCTTTCTGGCCAGCCCTTTAAACTGCTTTGTACCCACTCCTGTGCCACATCCCCAAGCAGATGGATGTGTACAGGACTCCTGGGTCACAGAGCTGGATGTGGAAAGGCAGCACCAGGACTAAGATGTACCAGACTCTGAGAGCTTTGATTTCAGTTTTAGATGGGTTTGAGCCCTTTGCTGAAATATGAGTCATTATAAAACTACTGAGCTAGGAACTGTGGGAGTTTTATTGGTTTGGCTGTCTGGTTTTTGTGCATCTTTAAGGCATTTAGACATGAAGWGTGATGCCAACCACTGCAGCATTATTAACATTTTAAGTGTTTGAGGACTGTGTGTGACTGTGTAATGCTATATCTACRTATGTGGGTGCATGTAACGTCAATAACTGAAATTGGTTTATAGCTCTACCTAGTTATATTCTTTTAAAGGTCCCAGTGAGATACCCAGGCAATCAATTTTGAAGACTTGCAGTGCAGTCATGTAAGTAAAAACTGGKAACAGTGGAGTCTGACAAAGCAGTCCTGAGAATTATTCATCTAGTTAATGTATATAAGAAAATTTCTCCCAGAAGTGATCCAATAGCTGTACATGTACAAAAAAGAGAATCAAAAATTATATCCTCAGCATGGTTCTTTTTTCAGTGCTTGCAATTTTGGGAGATCTATCCATRTTCTTTTCTCAAGCAGGACAGTTGTTACTTCTGCAAAAAACACCTGCCCTGGCAAACTTTAATCCCAAACTGATGCATACGAAGTTTAGCACTGACTTGAAAATAATGAAGCAGAATTTTTGGAAAGTTGTGCTCTTCTATCTGCTCATGTAGGATTTTATTTTGCCCCCCAAAAATTTCTGGGAAGTTTTAGGCTAACAAGTGAATGTTCCATAATTTTTAATGTTGTGACAAGAGGGGATTGTTCATAAACTCTTTYCCAAACATAACTACTAGGTTAACTGTTGACCAGATAGTACCCAGAAAGTATATTTTATTGACTGTGAATTCRTTAATAATTAACTGGTGTGCAGACATTGAAACAATGTGCTGATTCTTCAYATTGAATCCTATCTCAGACAAATACAATAAGATGCCATGGTCTGTTGCTTTCTCAGCTCAACATTGCTGAGTGTTGATGTCAGGGAAAAGTCTTGCTCRGTTAACAGCATTCCTAGAGCACTCTGTGGAACTGAGTGAGCTACAGAAAACTGAGAGGATTCATTGAGATACACCAGCTGAACCTGCAAAGCAGCATGACACAAAAACCCCAACCAAACAAAAACCCCAAAACAAACAGAAAAAAAATCCCGACAAAACCCCAACAGAGCCAAAAAAAAGGTGATTGGACTCCAGAGCTAAAAAGTGTCAGAGGGGTTTCCAGGGCAGTATTATGCACCTTGAGAAAAGACATGCAGACAAAGGATCAAACTTTCCTGCACCAGCACAAAGCAAGGGTTTCCTGCTACAAAATTTTACCTCTGCCAGAAAGGTTCCTTGGATGCCTTTTAGATGGTTACCTGTTTATATGTTTGGTTACATGTTCATAAAACTAGTTTTTGTTCCTGCAACCTGGAGCTCTTAATTTCTCAGCTTTYTTCCCCAGAAGTGTGGGGATTCATTTGTAAGCTTTGTTGCCTTGCCAGAGACAGAATGAATTCAGGTGTCTGAAGAGATTTAGAAATACTAAGTGTTGGATGTGGCTGCTACTCATAAAGGAGCTTGGCCTCCAAATACTGGTGTACCCAGAAACACAGGAAAAAATGTTTATGTTTTAGATCCTATTGAACTTCAGGAGGACAAACACTCTGTATTTGTTGAAGRCCAGGTTCATTGCCATTATATTAACTAGAAAGAAAAATACATGGCAGCCAGCCAGGAAGTACAATTATCAGAAGGTAAACAGGCATAATCAGCCAGGGACTCCAAAAAGCTGCATTACCAACAGAATAAAAATATGACCCCCAGTGAAGGCCATCTTTCCTAGAAGGATGCATCTAAACAGAAAACAATTATTTGGGGCCAAGAAGTAGTGTTAAGGCCATGGATGAAGCCAAGAAATAKGGCCCACCCTGGTTGTGGTGGTAGACTGAGAATGGTGCTTTGGAAAGACCAGAGAGTGGATTTCTGCTCATACCAGCCTCTGAGGAGAGACTATTGACCATCCCTGTCCTTTTCTGAAAGAATTAATTGTTGGGGGTTTTATTTTGTGGTTGGTTTTTTGTTTTTTTTTTTTTTTTTTTTTTTTTTATTGTTTTTTTTTTTTTTTTTTTTCGGGCAAGAGATATATGATAGTGAGAACAATAGGACTTTTCCATTNGTTGTTGTTTTGTTTTGTTTTCAGGCAAGAGATATATGATAGTGAGAACAATAGGACTTTTCCATTGCTGCTTCTGAGATTGTCCACGTTGGCTTTGCTCTGTTTCTATGCCAATCACACCCCACTGCTCAGACTGCCTGGGCAGAGATGGTATCTATTTGTTTTTRATAGATTTTTGTCCTAGGGCTCATCACATTGATTTATATATGGATATACCTGCTGGCACCCCCAGGGTCTGTAACTGAAAATAYTTCAGCCCATTTTCTTGCAGTGTTTACTTTTCTCTCATCCATTTTGAGCCTGCCRTCTGCAAACAGCCAGGAAGTGTTTCCAGTTCATGGAGTTCTGTTCTGCCTCCTGCGTCACGGTCACCGAGTTGCACTTAATTATGCATGTTTCTTTGGTGTAGCTTTGAAAATGAAACAGAAGTATGAAAGACAGTGAGAAACCCCTTTTTGCCCTCCARAAAGTAAACTTCTGTCCTTGGTTTAACATGGTGGCTCTTTCTATAAAAGGTGCACTTGATATAGAGTCTCTCAAATTTTCACTAACAAATAAAGGTAGATTTGTAAAGATTCTGTAGCTTAATGAAGCTGCTTCCAAGCAAGTCTGTCTCTGGTTTATCTGCAGAGCAGTTAGAGTCACATTCCTCTTTAATCTTTGCTCTTCTTTGCAACAGGTGATCGAGTGATCCAATGTATCCCTAGAGCTTCTTCAGCACGMTGGGGTGGCTGTGTTGCACTGAAAGGCTGTGCTCTAATTCTGTGAATGTTCATTCACACTGTGGCACTGGCTATCACAACTACAATCCAGTACTGTGGGTGTATTATAACCAATTTCACCTCGTGTTGGCTGCTTTGTTGGAAACAATAACCTGCATAGATCACACCATATATMTGAGATGCAATTATTAAAAAGATAGATTGATTAAGTCACTGTGCTTTTCTGATTTTCTGGTTAGGAGAGAAAAGCAAAGCATTTTTCTTTATCTATAGTTACAAAATCATCATTATGATATCAATACCCTGGTGCAGTACTTCGGGWTGGAGCAAAATATGCCTGCTACATCTTTGACTTTAAATATCAGATGCTTTGGGCTGTTTGAAATGTTGGGGTTTTTTTTTTTTTAGTACATACTTTGATATTTCCTGGCCAGATTGAGACCTAAGTGCAATATGGATGATGTTTTATGACGCAAAACTGTGTGACTGCATTATATTTGCATTCCRTGTATAAAGGCCAACCAATGTGACTAACATATTGGAATCTGTTCATGGGGCTCAAGATTTCACACGTCCAGTTCTGGGAATCAGACCGGTGGCACAGGCCTGGGAACAGCTCTATAATGCAATGTTCTGCCCACCTAGCTCCACATCAGTACTCTGAATTTTTTTTGCCATGGAGTCTGCCCAAACATCCTTTTGAAAGTGACACATCCTGATGYTGGAAGACCTTCCCAGGAAAGTTTCAGCAGGGAGGAAATGGGAGAATATAACATCTCATAAACT